ATATATAACACTAATGGAATTTTATCATTTTGTCCATAATGGGAACAAACAGATTGTGCACCCTGGAGCAAGACAATGCAGTGAGCTTATGATTGTTGCCCAAATATTAACGGAACAATGTTAATAGGTCACCGGACTCCTGAGTCTACTTTCCTGCTGTGGAGAATATTAGGGCTCACAGGCATGCATTTAGGTGTTTTGTGTATCTAATATGACCAACTTCCACCTGTCTCTACCTTTGCTATGACTTGCTATGACTTTCAACCTCTCCCCTCTCTTTAGTCCCTATTCTCACTCCTGGCATATAGATCTCCTGGTACCAAACCTTGGCTTAATGCTTATTACACTTGTGCTCTAGTATAAGGTCAAGCCAAAGGTCAAGCCATCTAATCAGATGTAGCGTTAATGTGCTGTCCTTTGCACTGCATCCAGCAGGCTGGTGTGACACTTGGCATGACCTTGACCTCACTATGTCTGATACCCTGGCACCATCTCGTTCATGGCTTGTAAGGGCAATCTTTGTTCTTGTTGCAGTATGGTCACTCTATTCAACTGTCATAATTCGGCACACCAAAAAGAACAAGTTTCAATCCCTAACTATTATCCTGTCATGTTTTCACTTAGATCAGACACATTCTTTAAATGCAGCATTTCTATTCTGTCAAAAATCTTTCTGTTGTGTGTTAGCATGTATAAGAAGGATTTGATTCTATTGAGAAGGAAATATTTATAACACTACACAGCTATGCTGGGTATGACTTAAAGCTTGCAAAGAACATTGATTTTCTGCTAACGGGGCCTCGGTTGTGATTTCCCTGGTGGACCTTCTAATATTCTGGAAATGTCACACATGTGGAATTGTACTTGTGTTTTCTTCATTATCATTAGAAAGTTAAATATTAAATCCTGCTTTATCCTGTATGAAGAAGTGGCAAATTGGAAGAACATGCAGCTCCAGGGAAGATGACAAGTCTCCCACAGATTCTTCAAGAACTGGACTAATGCCAATTTCATTTTTAACATCACCAGGGAAATCATCCTTTCAAAAGGAGGGCACTGTCTCTAGTAATAAAATGTAAAATTACTAAAATATTGCAAATTTGTAAATATTTGTGCTTTGTAAATACTATTTAGTTATAATATAT